CAGGCTGTGAGCAGACACGTCCACCCCAGCGGTGGATCGTCCCGTGGCTCCACGATAATTATAGTTGACATTGAGCGTTCTCTCCTGTTGCAACAGGTCCACAGGCGCTCGCAGGATTTCTGCCGTGTCTGAGCCATAGCTCTGGGTAGAAGGTCCCAGGTCCTCGTGCCGCAAAGGACCGTCTTTGGACATCACATCCGCTCCCTGTTCAGAATACATGAGATGTACCCTACTCCAATGGAGAGCAGATTGGGTGTGCCCCACACAGCATCTGTCTCACAATGTGGCACATGGGTTGAGCGCATACATCTTCTGCCAGTTATGTATGCAACAGTCACTTGCTGTCTGTGTGAATCAAAAACCCTGATGATTCTGCAGCTCAAGGCAAGTGTTGAATCACATTCAAAAAAACCCGTGTGGCACTCCAAAAACATTTAAATGAACTGCTGTGTGGAGAACCACAGCGCCCCCACAGCTTGTTAAATGTGTGTGCCTCTGTGAAATCTGACATGTGTGATGTAGGTCTGCTGACGGAAACAGCTGATATCACTCAACCGGTTCACATGAGTTGCACTGCTGCCACCTGTTTGTACAAACTGCTCGGCAGCAGCAGGTGTCCAGATAAAGCAGAATTCTCCTCCCTGCTCTGTGCGGCGGCTGCAGAGCGGCTCGGGCGCAATAATGGAGTGTTGTTTCTCACAGTTCAAAATTGAAAAATCTAGAATAAATCTCATCTTTCCGGTTCGTTGGGACCAGGGAGTGACGAGAGAGGAACCCTGCATTTTCCTCTCCTTCTGAGACTCTGGAAAATTACATTTAAATCAGAATTTCCTGAGCTTCTGTGAGAGGGGACAAGATCTGTTCTAGAAATGACAGAAAATGTGATTAGAGTTCCTCCGCACCAGGTTTGAGCTGTACTGCAGCGTGAATCCCTGGATGAAAACGGTGCGCCTATCTGTCTAAAGCGCGCGCTCATTGCCACTCATTTATAAAGTTATAAAGCGGGCACGCATTTATGCTGTGAAACTCACATGCATGCTGATGTGAGCTGGTACATGCTGAAGGAGAAAGTAAAAACACGCGCCCCCGAGCATGCAAATTGTTTGTGCGTTTGCTGATGCTGTGGGACGCAGCTCATGTGTTGTGCTCACGTTGTGCGCAGCTGCTCCGTGTAAACGCTCAGGGAGCGGGTGCACGTATGAGCCAACGTGCCATGAAGAGTCGTGTGTGTGCGCGCCCTCATTCATGCGACGCCTTAAGCCAGGATTGCCGCGGGAGCGCGCGTTTGATGCTGGTGCGGTCAGGAAGCAGCGCGCGGCATCGGTGGGGCGAGGTTACCACTGGGCTCGGTCTGCAGAAACACGTTCATTCTTGGCTGCGAATCACGTGAGCTTTTGAGTGATTCCACGAGCTGCAGTATTAATTCAGAAAACCTTCTTCGAGGATGAAGGAGCGGAGCCGCTGTGAGGCTTGCGAAACTGTTGACGCCGTGGGAGCGCGCGTTTGACACCACTGCGATGAAAACGCGTGTCACTCCTGCCGAGAGCGAGATACGTTACTGGGCTCGTACCGCAGTCTCACATTAACGTTGACGTGAACGGCGGGCGCTGAGAGCTGCGTGCGCGTTTTCATGCCGCGGGAGCGTGTGTTGGCACCACTGGCAGTGAATGAAAACAACCTTAAAAGGCTCATTCGTGATGAATGTGTGTGATGGGGCCACTTGTCAGATCATCCGTGCTGACAGCCTGGCTAAAAGACACTTCATTGTAAAATGATGTTATTCCACATCTCGTGTCATCAACACACCTCCAGCAAACCGACACCTGGTTATCCTCCCTTGAGCTCTGTTTGTTGTCCTAGAGGGCCCCCTGTTGGCGAAGTCCAGGAAAATTTTAATTTCCGGATGCCGGGGATGTCTGACGGGAGGGGCTGGCGTGGCAGAGCTGGGGAGGCGTTGTGCAGCCGTGGCGCATCTTGAAATGATCTCTCACTGATGAAAAGGCCCTCCAACAGAAGCTTCTGCAGCTCTACTGAGAGGAAGGTGGAGTGATGAGCCAGGAGAACCTCTGGGACCTCGTTCTCCGGCTGCGATGCGGGGCGGCAGACAGCAAAAGAGGCGCACCGGTTGGGGATGACTTCAGCTGCCCTGCGGACGGAGTGTACTGCAGGGGCCGATAGCGTCATTAGCGAACAGCCGCTACGAGAGCGGAGCGAGCCGAAGGTCAGAGGGCCCACCGTCTCTTCCCACCTCTGAACGTGTACGCCAACAGCGTAACATGTTGTTCGCTGTGGCCATCTGGAATGCATGCTGGTGAGCTCAGTTGGAGAGCGGTGTCACAGTCTGGGTTACGCTAACCGGAGGCACGGGACGCTGGTCCACCTGGACATCTTGCTCCAATGAAGCCTCCGTCAGGCTTGGCTCCAGGGGGCACTGAGGGACTTTCCGCTCGGTGAACCCCTGCTCTGGAGATGATTGCGGACTGTGGAGACCGCCCCCCCCCAATCTACCAGGAAAACCGGCTATGGCCTCGCCCGTAGGACGTCCTGTTGGGAAAACGAGGCCAGATGGATCAAGACGGTGAGCCAGAATGGAACCTAGTAAAAACAACCTTCCCGCCGGATCATATGAACTGCGGGAAAAGGCGTGGGACGTAAAAAAGGGGTCCCTTCATGTCAGCCGCCTCCTGGGTTACGCAGGGCAACCCCAGAGGGTGCCGTTGGCCGGGAGCGGTGTGATCGCCGATGCGAAACGAGGTGAGATGAGGTGAGCATTTGCTCAGCCCCCCTCCACCGACACTACGCTCTCCAGGAAGGAATGAGCAGCGGGGGGCTGCAGCTGAGCGCCGCCTGTCCCGGAGGAACCATCCGATTTGCTCCGAGGGTCGGCGATAAGAGGAAAATTACAAGATGGCATTGTCCAGCATGTAGCGACCTGTCACTGAGAAATATTCCTCGGTGCTTACCTTGAAACAAGACTGCTCGTCAGCGTCTCCTCGGGGAGGAGAGCTCACCGGACGACCGGATGTCGACGTGCCGGGCCAAGCATTCTTAACAAAGGTTGGTCATCTACACAACTTTCCTTCTATGTTCTTCTGACAGTGCTATTAGCTTGCTGAAGAAAAAATGGGAGCCGATTTCCCGCTCTTAACGTAATTTATACGGACCGGGTGGGGCCCACACAGCAGGTGGGCGTGGACTAAATTTTTCAGTGCAATGCTTCGCATATCGGGATAAACCCATCAGCGACAGCCTTAAAGGGCAAAGCTTATATGAAATAGAACTAGAAATATTTTTCAAGGATACTTTTTTTAGGCTTTACATTTGCCATAAAATTGCACACACTAAACATAGACATGAATGATTAAACAGCATACAAATTCAAATGTATTTCTTAAAATCAAAATGTGGCTGCACAAGTTTGAATTTATTGTGGATTTTCTCTAATCTACTTCACTAGTTCAAAATTTTATGAAGATAAAATTATACATACAGATTCAAATGGATGCATGGAAGTGGTGGCGTCAAGCTTCACAGCATGATTTTATAACAATAACGTATGAGAGAAGATTTCCTTTAAATTATTTAACTTCACCTCAAATCAACAACTAGACAGTTGAAACTTGGACACATTTGGGTGTCCAAAAGGATAACACCCCCCAACAAATCAAAACTGAGTTCTGAACAGATGAACAAGGCCACCATTAGGTCAGTGGAATGGCCTTACCAAATTGCCAAACTCAACCCTATTAAAACTTGGGTTGTGCCAATAAATTAACTAACTCTGATGGACTCTACAGATTCAGCCAAGATGAACAGCCAAATATCCAGCCAGAAGCCTGTTTATAGATACAAAAAGCTGTCAAGGTGCAACTTGTAGGTGGTGTATAATAATAATAATGTCATCACATTGTCATCACTGTGTGTTTCCATACAATGGCGAAATTAGTCTCTGCATTTAACCCATCCGCCATCGGGTGGTGCGGTGGGCGGCTGCTGGGGGTGCCAGGGGGGAGGAGGGGATTTTGGGGATGAGGTGTGCTGCCCAGAGACACCACGCGGTATGCAGTGACCGGAAATCGAACCTGGGACTTTCGGGTCCCAAGCCGGCTGCCCTGCCTCTACACCATCTCGGCCCCCATTATGGATGTACAGTAGAGAATATATCTATTAATGTATATAATGTATATAATCTATCTATCTATCTATCTATCTATCTATCTATCTATCTATCTATC